CCTACCACTTCTCTCTGTCTACCTCTCCTGACCTAAATCAGTCCTGGAGCAGACAGACCCCTGAGCCCAAGCTTTGTGGAAGCTGAGGGTGGGGCCTTGAGAGCAGATAGGCGGTTGCTTCTGGGCTGGGAGGGCACAGAAGATTGGTATTTGGTGCATTTCCTGGGAGGATCAGAACATATTAAATGTTGTGCTGAGAGATAGGAGACTCAGGAAATCACCCTAACTTCATTGCTTCATTGTGTGTGTGTGTGTGTGTGTGTGTGTGTGTGTGTGTGTATGTCTATGAAGAACAATGGGGTTGAATTCTCCCCATCCTTGGACTTTGGAGCAGAAAGGCTCCTCTTTGTTGCCAGGCAGAGCCCTGGCAGCACCCCTATGTGCTTGTCTTGCTAGACCACTCTGCTCCCACCACTCGTAGAAATGCAGTCACTTGGCTCTTCCATCAATCAGATCAGAACTCCAGCAAAATAAGAAGAAGAATGCCATCATAGCCAGCGAGAAGGACAGACGGAACACATGCTTAATGCTACAGAGTGGCAGCTGGAGACAGATGACAACCTGACAAAAATAGTAAGAGAGTACATAAGGAGATTTAAATGCAGTACCGAATTTCTAGAGATGAAATACAGAACGTGGGTTTCCAGTAAAACGTTTCAGTAAAGGAAGGAGATGTTGATTCTTGAGACTTGAGTTGATAACCTTGTTGGTCAAGTGAAAGAATGTGAAAGCACAGAAGAAAATATAAAGCAAAATGGAAATCTCAGGAGAAAAATAGATCCAGGAAGTAGAATGTGTGAGTAATAGAGCCAGAAAGAGAAAAGGGGAGCAGACGGAAGGCAGGCAATAATTAGATAGATATAAGAAACAGATTTTCCGAAGTTAGGAATCTAGACTGGGTCTGTAAACTCAAATGATTCATTAAGTTCCAGGCAAGACTGTGAAAAAAGACACCTCTGCATGTATTGGAAAAGTTCTTGAATTGTTAGGAAAAAGGAGGGAAGTCTTTCCAGACCGAGCAAATGGGCTATGATGAAAAAGTATCAGACCAGCTACAAATGTGTCATGTATGACACAGGATGCTGAAGACAACGTAGTAATCTGACAGAAAAAAGCTAAGGTCTTCAGCTGAGGCCCTCTAATAACCCCATCTCCATTGTCTCCATCTCTCACAACCTTGTATACACCTTAAAGACAGAACAGTTGAATAAATAAAAGTTAGACTTACTAGATAACCTGGACTCATCTGTCTTGACTACAAAACGTTCCTTTCTCGAATACTTAGAAAATTTGATCATATACTCAACTAGAAAGGGTACCTTAATAGATTCAAAGGAAGAGATTTTTATAGGTCTTGTTTTCTGATCATAATCCAGTAACATTAAAAATAAACGATGAAAGGTAATAAAAAATTTACTATTGATAAGTTTAAATGTTCTGTATAATCTTTGTTTCAAAGGGAAAAAATGAAAAGTCAAATGATAAGCTATCAAGAAATCAATAAAGTGAGCCTAAGAATCCAAAAGCTATGAGAGGGAAGGCTGTAGCCAGTGGAAAATGTACAGTCTTTGGATGATTTTATTACTTACAAATACAGACCACTTTTATTATGAAATATAAATTAAGGACAAAACAAGTTAAAATAAATTGGATTAATAAGATGAAATTAATGAAATAAATACATTAATAATTATCTGTTATGTGGATTTGATTAGGAAACGAATGCATTAAAAACTTAAAAGACTACCAGTAAGAAAAGGCATATAATCAGAGGCATAGGAATGAATCAAAAAAGATTAAAAATATATAGTTTGTTTAGTTACATGGCAAAGAATTTGGAAAACCAGGAGAAATGAACTTGTTTCTTTGCCAAATATAAATGTCCAAATTTGACCCAGGAAAAAATGGAAAATTTGAGCAGGACTGTGATCACGACAGAGCTGGGAAAGTGATAAGATCCCCTCCTCAAAGTGGCAGTGGGGTCAGATGGAATTACAGCTGAGTGTCATGTAACCTTGAAATAACAATTTTATCGTTATTTAAACTGTTTCAGAAGAAGATGAAAAGTACCAAATTAATTTGTAAAATAAGCACATATTTAACACCTAAACTCAGTACTGTGCTAGAGAAGTCTAGAGACCAATTTAATTTTGAATATAGATGCAAAACGTTAAATATTAGCAGACAGAACCCATCACTGTATTTGAGGCCCCACCCATGACAAGTGGGGTTTATGCCAAGGATACAAGAGTATTAAGCTGCTTCAAGGGACCACAGTCACAATGGGACAGGTGGATTTTTTTTTTCCGAGACTTTTAGCAGCTAGTGGCCTGGCTTCTCAAGAGATACTGTCTCCATGCTGTTTTATGCCACTCCAGGCAGAGACACCTGTGCTGGCTGCATTGCTCGGGATACTTCCAGAGCTCAAGGCCATCAGCAGGGCTCCCCAGAGGTGCTCATCAGCTTCTGCTTGATACAGTGGGTTTCTTGGAGTTGACCTTGAAACTACAGTTCATGTCTTTTTGATTGGATATATGAACATTTGTCTTTTCTTTGCCTGTTATTGAGGAGCCCCCTGTGAACTTTTATAAACATTAAATCACATCACACTGTATCTTACTGTATTCTTAGGTCTGATGGGATATTTCTGTGCAAATGAAAGCTGTTTTGAATAACGGCTCAATATTTTCAAGCAAATAATTTAGGTTTTCAGAATTAGCAGCGAGAACTGGTGGCTGCACCAATGTGGAGCATTTCTCCTCCTCTTCCTCTAATGGCTGGAAGCTTGGCACAGAAAGTCCGAATGTGGCCAGCTGACTATTGGGTGCTGACAGTGTAATGTATTCTCATACACAGACCTTTTGATGGTGTTTATATGTCTCTGTTTTAGCCTTCTATGCCTTTTGATAGAATTTGGCATAGCTATCTTCACTGGCTATTTCACCCTCCTTTTCTCTGATATTGATATGGACATAGGTGCTTTCATAGTTTCTTTGCCTTTGCGTACAGCTCTGCCTGCCTCAGTTCTTTTCATGGCAATGGGGCGATTGCTGCTGTGGCTTCAGGAAGCCTGAATTTGGAAAGGCATAAAACTAAGTGGGAAGCAGACACAAAGAGAACATTCTACTGTGTGTTTCATTTGGATGAGCTTCTGGTCCACTGTGGCTTCGAGGGATACTGGTTTTAAGAGTACTGTGACCAGCAGGAGATGAGTGGGAGCTGCCCAAGAAGCACATGACCAGTGTACTGCCCAGGGATTGTCACCAGGAGTGGTGACTGGGATAAATCACCTTGTTCCTTGGCTGTGTCTTTGGAGATGTTTGTGCCATACAAAGAGAAATCAAAACTAAACCTGACAGCTTTGTGGATTGGTAGGCAAGATACAGTCACAGTTTGCAGCAACGTGAACACGTATGTCCTCAACACAATCAGGACCAGGAATAAGGAAAATCTTTAGGGGACGTGGGAGGAAAGGGAATAGAGGGGTTGATGTTTGTGTCTGTATATCCTCTTTTATGTGTATCCCTAGATTCAACAGATATTAGCTCATGGCAGTTTTGCTGTGCAGGAATTTAGGTACAGTGAACTCTATTTTTTAAAATCCCACCTATATGCTTTGGCTTAGCACCAGAGATTCTGTTGATTGTCTTTCTTTTGCCACAAGTATGCATCTTGCCACTGGTTATACATTCTTGTAAAATAGGAAATCAATTTAAAAATTAGTCTAAGTCATAAGTAAAAAGGAAGATAATATGTTTACACAAGTCAGTTATGCATGAGTTTAAAAATTGTCCAAGCTTAGCTCCCCACTACCTCTTCTCTGTTAATACAGTGTGATCCATACCAAATTTTAAATTCTAGCATAGATGTACTCTGCTTCCCAGAAATGTTATGACAAGCCTTCTGCTATTATTGCTTGGGGTTTGCTCAGAAATTCAAATACATTTTAATATTTTCCAAGCAAAGCATAATTTAAGACAGATTTACTACTGAAAACACCACATATATTAAAGCTAAATGAAACCGATTTGGAAGACTCCCATATTGTTGCTCCCTTTCATTAATATTGAAAGTTGATAGTTGACTGCACACATGAACAGTCAACATCCAGCATTTGGCCAGAGTGATGGGAACCGTGCTGTGATTAGTCGTGGGACTGTAGATTGCATTGTGCTTTCTGTTTACCATAGAAAGGTAGTTTACATGAAATAAAATAGTTGTGCAGGGGAACGCTGGCTATTTCTTGATAGCCCTGCAGAAATCATTCCTGTGTGAAGATACAGCTGTGCATGCATTACCCGTTTTCTTCTTGTGCTCAGGAATTAGACTTGAGTGGTGATAGTGCTTATGTTGAGGGTGTTTATCCTGAATTATACTCTGTGTAAGTTCTGTGTACAACTATGGTTTTCAGGACTGGTATTGGAACAAAAACTTTGAAATCGAATAGCCAAACAATGATGACATTTATGCGACAGATTTCTTTACACCGAGGGTTGAGAGCCGTCTGCTACACTTAAAAATGTTCTCATCTCTCAGTGTACTTTCTGAAAACACATTATTAACCTTCATTCTCAAAGTCCTCTTTTTTTCTGTTTTCTGCTTCCAAAAGCACTTGTAAGCTCTATTGAAGGTATTTAAGCAACAGTTTTCTGAATTCATTTATATGTGATCCGTGTCCCATTCTGTTTTCCAAGGGGGCAGAATTTCAGAGAGAAAACTTCTTCATTCTGAAAGACACCATAGAACACACGCTCTGCAGTGTACTTCACACCCACTAGGATTTTTAGTTTCTTCTCATATTTGTGGACCAAAACAGCTAAGCATGGAGAGAACACTTTTCTGTCCTGGGAACAGAAAGGTGTGGACAGATGAAAGGGTTTAACCTGTTAAGTCTTTTGCCTCTAATGCTTGCAGTTTAGAAAATTCTATAAAGTGCCTTTCAGACACACCTTTTCAATGAGAGGCTCACTATATTAGAATCTCTGTTTTTTTCTTTGCAGACTCTTCATGCGGCCTGTTAAAGATGCACCTGAGACCGTTATAAGCAGACACTGAAATGCCTGGACAGTTTCTGGGTTTTCTAGCCACTCTTCCAGCCTTTGCCACTCCCTGCTGGGTCCGGGTGGTATGATACTCAGAGGGACACCTTGATCACAGCTGCTCTTTGGCCGGAGACATCCGCCCGAGATCGTGTCTGCCGCTCAGGATGGCCAGTCAGCTGCCCGAGGACCCTGCCGAGGCGCAGGTCTCCGACGAGCTGGAGTGCAAGATTTGTTACAATCGGTACAACCTGAAGCAGAGGAAGCCCAAAGTGCTGGAGTGTTGTCACAGGGTCTGTGCCAAATGCCTCTACAAGATCCTAGACTTCGGGGACTCCCCGCAGGGTGTCATCGTGTGCCCATTCTGCAGGTTCGAGACCTGCCTGCCAGACGATGAAGTCAGTAGCCTGCCCGACGACAACAACATCCTGGTAAATTTGACTTGTGGAGGCAAAGGGAAGAAGTGCCTGCCGGAGAACCCCACCGAGCTGCTGCTGACCCCCAAGAGGCTGGCCTCCCTCGTCAGCCCTTCCCACACGTCTTCCAACTGCCTGGTCATAACCATCATGGAGGTGCAGCGAGAGAGCTCCACGTCTCTGAGCTCCACTCCCGTGGTTGAATTTTACAGGCCTGCCAGTTTTGACTCGGTCACCACCGTGCCCCACAGCTGGACTGTGTGGAACTGCACGTCCCTACTGTTCCAGACCTCCATCCGGGTGTTAGTATGGCTGCTGGGCTTGCTGTACTTCAGCTCCTTACCCTTGGGTATCTACCTGCTGGTGTCCAAAAAGGTCACCCTCGGGGTTGTCTTTGTCAGCCTCGTCCCTTCCAGCCTTGTCATCCTCATGGTCTATGGTTTTTGCCAATGCGTTTGTCACGAATTTCTGGATTGTATGGCGCTTCCTTCTTAAAGCAGTGTGCAAATAGAAAGCTGACGCATTGCCGTGTTCAAAGTTAGGTGATTTATAATTTATAGAAGTTACTTTTTAAAATGTTCTTTATGATTAGCATCCAGGGCATCAAGAAAGGCCTTGGCCATATGTTTCTGGTCTGTTCTCCCCCAGGTACTAGCTTGTTGGGTGAAAACAGTTCGTGCTTAGGAGTTAGCAAAGGAGCAGAGCTGTGTGAGCTCAGTCTTTGCGGGGGCTCTGACAGCCCAGAGACTTCCTCGGGCAGGGGCAGGATTTCCCACCGCCCCTTGAGATGGCCCCAGAGTGAGGTGCACTGTGCTGGAGCAGAGGTCTTTGTGCAGATTAGGGATGAGCTGTTCCTCCTTTCCCAGCCAGAGAGTCTACAGGGGGGTGGGCACGGGGGCAGGGGGGGAGCTGAGCCACTCCCCAAGTTTGCAGTCTGTGTCCCCACACTCTGGGTGTTAGAGCCTTGATCTTATTTAGGTGCTTTCTCTCTTAAGGTAATGTCACTCTGAGGTCTGCCGCTCCGCAGAGACGCCTCCCCCTCTGGGTGTTCTCTCCTGCCAAAGGGATGGTAGGCCTGTTCCTTTGGGTGATCTCCTTGAATTCCTGTTTTGCCACATCACTAAAGAGTGCAGAAAGCATTGAGGAATTTACGTCAAAGTAGGCGTCATGGCAGAACAAGGCAGTTTGTCTTCCTTCATGTTTATTTCCCTCTTCTCAAGAAGAACAGAAGACAATGGACTATGGTAGAACAGTTACTGTTCATAGGAACTTCCATTTGGGTCGTTCCTTAAAACATCTTAGTGTTGCTTTGTTTTTAACTAACTGGCTCAGTCAGCCCCACCCCTAGCCCAACCAATAAGTTCCATGTAAACTAGCTGCTGCAAATTCCTAGTTTGAAATATTTTATTAGGATTTATTTAACTTAGTCCTGTAACAACTGGGGATGAATTGTGGCAGTGGAAACCCAGAAACGGTTAGCAAGGTGCTGTAGCTAATGGTTTGAAGTTCTGAGCACTTAAAGCTTTTCGTTATATTTGTTGAGTTATGTACAAAACTGCATGCTGTGGAAAGAAGTCCAGGCAGGCAGAGGCCAGGGCCATGTGAAACTGTGCCCTGCTCGAAAGGGCCTTCAAGTGTGAGAAGTAGAGGCAGCAGAGAGCAATTTAAGCATATTGTTAGCCCGGCTGTAGCTGAGTCAGTTTGGGAGTAGATTGCAGTTCTTAATTTTATTTCGAATAAAAGCATAAACTGTGTGACTTGAGCTAATGGACTTCTTTTTGAGGACGTAGGGGAAGTTGAATGTATATAGTTACGAGAAGAAATTGTCCAGCAGATTTTAGGTTTGAGAGAATAGAATGTTCACAGAAACTAGGGAACAAAAGCTTTTAGTCTCTAAAACCCATTACTAATGATTAACATTCAAATATTTGTAACTCTTAGAAAAGGGCATCCCGGAGCGTACTTTAACTTGTTTGTAATAAAGTATTTGTTGCGTGAAATAGTCACAGTGGACCAATTCCTATCTCCTCATGGAGGAGAGATTGATATTTATCTTAAATAGCAAGTTCATTTTATTTGTATAAATACTAACTTTGATAACATGTATGCCATGATAAGTATGAAGGTAAAGTTTATGTGGGGTATGGGCTAAGAAATTTAAGCCCCAAGATATGCTAACCATGTTTATGAGTCCATAAAATCTAGTTTTGGTAGCATTGTGAATGCAATTTCCAGAATTCCATTTGTACTTTGAGTAAATATAATGTTTAGGAGATGTTTTGTGGTTTGGATTTATATATTTATAAGGTTTTTTAAAAAATGCCTCATTTTGTCTGAAATGGAACATTGAGGAAATTGGTGAGCTATATGGTGGGATTTCCAGAAAGCTCTGGATATGGGTACCACGTGTTTTACTTATTTGTATAAAGTCTGCTGTGCTAACTGTGTGTATCTGTGTATCACAGTGGTCTTTTTCTTTAGTTTCTAGTAAATTGGCCTGGTTTTAAAGAGTTTTAAGTGTATAAAAAAAATAACAAAAACCCTCTTTGTGCTATTGAATGAAAAAAGGGCAATGCTTTAATATTTTATTCACTGTGATAATGCTTTGTTTGTCTATTAAATTAACTGGAGGTTTGACTTCTCTGACTTGTGGCTGTGAGTCAGTTATTACTCTGGACCTCAGGTTAACTTTAGTTAATAGCTGTAAACATGGATTTTGAAAAACATTGGTTAAGCCAATAATGTCTTTATCACACACACAAAGATTTCAGAACAAAGCTGACTTAACCTTCATCTTTTGTTAAAAGTGGGGGACAAACATTAGGAAGGGGAAATACAAATATTGTCTTTATAAACAGTGCCTTTTTTTCATTTTTCATTGATTTGATTTGATTTCCAGGCCTAGCTGCTCAGCATTGTCTTTTTATTTTTTCATTTTTCATTGATTTGATTTCCAGGTTTTGCCTAGCTGCTTAACAGAATAGATCCTGTTTATTCAGAGGACACCTTATTTTATATGGTCTGGAAAATTTTTAAAACTTTACCTGGCATTTTGTTGGGCAAAGCAGAAATAATTTGAGAATACGTAGCAGTTCTATGCTTCTGATTGTTGAAAGAATTGACACCATATGTTAATCCAGGAAAACTGTTTCATTCACTTCTGAAAGCTTTACATAAGCAGGACAGAAGCAGGGTGAAGACAGCGGGTGTCTGAGCCCGCAGAGCTTCTCTGCAAAGTCAGGCTTAACCACGAGAGGCCAGATAGTGATGTGCACTTGCCGTGTTGTAAACAGGTACTTCACTTCGGAGGCACTGGAGGAGATTTCTCCGTGTTATAGCCAGGCAGCTCTGAGGATCCTGATATTGACACAGTACCCTGGGGGCAGGAACTGGGCACAGCCCAGAGAACCTGGGCAGCCTGGAAGAGGGAATTGGGGGTGCACTGCTCCGTTCTCCATGGGTCACAGTTTTGCAGCCTTGCACTTTTTGCATGGGCTTCTTGGGAGATAAATACTTTTGATTCCTTTCAAACAACACAGACATAACACATATTATTCCAGAATTTTTCTTGAAACCAGTGACTGTCTTGGTCACTTTAGGATCAAGTGTTTAACCATTTGCTCTGGCAGCGTGAGTGGTGTGTCTTTCTGTGCCTTTTCCCCTTTGTTAGATGTGATTGCTCTTTTGTGCCCTGTATGTACTTTCATTCCTGTAGCTGTACTACTGGGTCTTTCCTTCCAAGTTTTCTTTAGTCTAAAAGATTTATTTAAAAATGTGGATAACCAAATATTGCAATTTAAATAAATTCCTTGTGAGTCCTGGAGGTGACAGTGATTCAGCCCACTTCCTTGTGTTATTTAAATCTATGGAATAATCTGAATCTATATTCAGTGTACACATGTTTATGGTTCTGACTTGAAGGTGCTTTAAATTGAGGGGAAAAAATCTGAAATTAAATCATGTCCTGAATTTCCTGTATACTATTGGGGTATATGCTAATGTATTTTTAAAAGTGGTTGAAGCTTGATTTAATTAAAACATTCAATTAATTGAAACAATTACTCTACATGCATTTTAATTAATCAGGAGTTTATGAGTCTTGCAAACTATTAGCCTTTTAAAATTGAGATTGTTAGAATTTCATGAAGAAAAAAGTGTGCCTGACACGGGTTGTGTTACATCTTGGTTTTCCCATGAAGTATAAAAAATGTAGATTTCCTTCTATGTTCGTGTCTGTTTACCTGGGATAAGGGGTCTGTCCTGAAGTTTCAGCTTTGGAAGTCATTGCTTTGTGATAGCAACTGGAGGTGAGGAAGGAGAGAAATGTTGAGATGGAGGAGAAGAGAGCCAAAGGCTGAGGTCCCAAGGCTGGAACTTTTTTTCCCCCTAAATTGGCTAGATGGACAGAGTTTATTTTATGTTAGAAAAAAAAAAGACGGAGAAAAAAAACAAAAAGCAAAAGAGACAAATGAACAACAACAACAAATCCAAAACAGTAACAGTATAGGTTTTCAAAACAAGATGATAGGAATTTAACAATGGTTGTAATATTGTGTAGTTACCTTCAAAAGGGTTGCTTAGATTACCAGATACAGGACGTGCAAAACTGATCTAATCATGTGAGTATTTACTCTTCTTTTCTCAGAACTAATAGAATTAGTACTATGGTCATCTTAGTCATCGTGTGTGTATATATACAGATTTACAGTAAATATTGTGTGAGGGTAAGAAACTGCTCAAAGAGGAAAGGTAACTGGGACAGGAAAAGGAGGGAAGAAGGAAGGGAAGAGGACAAAGACATGATTTGTGTAAGGCTGGAGCTCTGAGTGCTCCATAGAGGAGCTGTGGATGGGAAGGAAGAGGAGCCAGACCGCGTGCGGGCCCAGGAGCCAAGGCAAGGGAGGTGGAATTCGGGTCCGCAGATGAACACAGACGGGAGCAGATCTCAGTTTGGGTCACGAAAAAGGGTTCTTCAGGCTTGTTTCAGATGTAAGGACGAGTCCTGAGGAATGCAGTTATCACCCACGGACTTAGCACTTTGAGTCAACAGCGAACCTGTCATATTTGTTTCCATAAGTACGTGTATGCCGTCTAATTCTAAATTTAGCATTTTCCCCCTAATTCTTGCCAGGAACTATCCCAATTTAGTAGTGCCAATCAAGAATTATCTCTTTGTGAATAGACATGTTCTGGATTAAGCTCAGATAATTCTGAGAGCTGGCTTAATGCTAAATTTCTTCTCCTAGTTTAAAATACTTTAAGCTTTTTATTGTTCCACATCTCCAGTCAAGAAAACTCAGCTCCTAGCAGAATTTTAAATGCGTTTTAATTGTTTTAGCAACCCTTTTAGCTGGGAAATTTTATTTTTAATGCTAAATAACATCATTAGTCAATAAATGAACATCTGGTTTTGATGTGTGTTGAGCCAAAACCCTCCCACACTCCCCCCTTTACCCCATGTTCTCTGGTTTCTGTAATGCCGTTTATGGAAGAACCTAGCACACCCCCTCCACCACCCATGCACAGACACACGAGTACACGCATGCACACACACGCACAAACTTGTGTCTTCCTGTTTTAGGAAACAGACCCGTGAAAGAGAACCACATTAGTCTTCCACTACTTAGTAATGACCCATTTAAACACCACTTAAAGCTATGCTGGTGACCACTAATGACTACCTTTATGACATCTCATAGGTCAATGGCGTTGGCTGCTTGTGTCACAAGTACTTCCTCTCTCCGGGTTTCTCTTACTGAGCTATAGAAATTTTCCTGATTGTTGATGCTGCTTTTGCTTGATGTGATTTTTCCCCTAGTATTCCCACTAGAACTATGTATTTCCATGGGTAAATGTATTGTCATTACAAATTTGATTTTTGGTCAGAGTGTTTAAAATTATAACATTATTTTTAGCCTGTAATTTCACCTACTGTAATCACCAGCAAAAAGTGAACCAATAACACAGCCTAATTTTTGTGGGTTTTTTTTTTTTTTTTTTTTCTGTTGCTGAAGAGGAGGACAGAGTGAAGTGGTCCAGGGAGACCAAAGAATACTATATTCTGTTCTTGGAGCTGGGAAAGAAAATTACACTACTAATTACTTAACCCTGTTCCCTACTTAAGGCTTTTTGTACCAAATGAGAACCTTGCCACTTTTTTGATACAGAACTTACAGACTTACTATTTCCATGCATGTTACTGGCTACCTGTTATGTGTAAGCTACAAATATTCTTTGACATTTAACACAGTGATCATGAATGTCACACCTTGGAAAGACATGAAGAAAATTGTGACCTTTCAAAGGATCTCAGTAAAGCAGCTGTTCCCAGATATATGCTGTGCAAAATGTTTGGATATCTGGTCCAAAAAGAAGAGTGTTCAAGAAGCTGGAGCCCTGTGTCTTCCTCTCAGAGATTTGAATCAGGCATCAGTACCACGCAGTGGCCAGCAAGCCAGTTAAAGAAACCTGTTATGAGGTTTAGTGTAAATCATGGGAATCTTTCTCAAGACATCTATGAATACTTCATGGGTTTAGTGTTCTGGGGAGCACATTTTGCAAAATCCGCTTTAGAGATAAAACAGTCAGAGTATAAAACCTGACTACGGATGCCAGTCACTGAACCAGCACGTGATTTTAAAAAGGCAACCAAGAAAGAGGTCACAGGGAGGCAGTGGGCCCATGGGGAATGGCTGAAGGCAAAAAGAGTGGGTGCCAGTAGCATGGAATGTAAACGTCACCCATCATGTCACCTGTTTTCAACTGGAACAGTTTGCACTCTTGTCGACGTTGCATAGCTTCGTCTCTCACACCTACGTCTGCATCAGCCCTCTGCAAGGCAGCACACACAGGGAAATAGCTAAATACAGGTCGAAGAAAATCTCAAATGGAATAATTAAGTACTTGTTATTTATTTATTGAATTATTTATTGTGCCTATGAAATTTCCACGGTTGATTCTCAAAGAGTGGAACCCAGGATTCCAACTTTTGGAAAACATATTCCTGATTTAAAGTTTCGATCATCAAATGTTAGAATGAGAAAGATTTTTATAGATCAGAGTCTATTTTACAGATGATAAAGCCAATGCCCAGGAATGATTGAAAAAGTCACATGACGAGGATTAGAAATGGGTTCTCATGAGGATCATTGTGGTTCAGGTCTACTTTTGCATCTGCTTGGAGTCCTATACTGTCTTTCTTCTTAGTAACTGAATTTAAAAAATAACATTGATTATCAAATTATGGAGAACAAAGCATGCAGCCAGATAGGTAATGTTTTATCCCTTCCTTCTCTGTCTATGAAAATATTAATAAAGACAAAATGGTCATTTGAATTACTTGTTCTGTTGAAGTAGGTCAAAGCATTTGAGCTCTGAACACTTACCCATCAAATAGACACGGAGAGCCTTAACACACAGGCAGCCAGCTGCAATTCATTAGGAAACAAAGCCAGTGTTGAAGCGGTCAGTCCCTGTGTGACAAATGACCAGCGTCCCCAGACATTCCATATGTGTCTTTCCCTGCCATCACCACTCCAACTTAGCACCTAACGGACATCGTAGCAATAGTCTTTGAGGCAGCTTCCATGCAAAGTGATGCTCTGTTCTCCTCCGAGATTGCCAGCATCTGGATTCATCACATCAAG